TTTTTTTGAGTTAGGGTCTTGCCAACTGTTTGCCTGGGCTGGTTTCAAACCTCGATCCTCATCTCTGCCAACTGAGTAGTTAGAATTACAGGTGTGAGCCTGGATTTTTTTTTTTTTTTTTAAGTGCTGTCCTTTTCTGTTTCAGGTCTGATCTAGGATCCCACATTGCATTAATTGTCATGTCCCCTTAGTGTCCTCTCTGTTAATTGTCTTCTACAACTTTTGATACTTATAAATGGTATAGTTCAGATAAGTAATTTATAGACTGTTTTGGTCTTTTGTGCTGCTGTAACAACAGAGTACTACAGACTAATTTATAATGACCAGAAATGTATTGGTTCATTGTTCTGGAGGCTAGAAAGTCCCAAATTGAGGGGTTGATATCTGGGGAGGTACTTGCTGTGTTATCCATGATGGTAGGGTAAAAAGAGAGAGGCAGAGCTGGGTGCCACTGGCTCACATCTGTAGTTCTAGCTACCTGGGATGTGGAAATCAGGATAGCGGTTCCCAAGCCAGCCCAGGAAAATGGTTTGTGAGACTCGATCTTCAAAAAAAAACAGTGCAAAACAGGGCCAGCAAATGGCTCAGGTGGTAGAGTGCCAGTCTAGCAAGCGTGAGGCCCTGAGTTCAAACCCCAGCACTGCTAAAAGAGAGACAGACAGACAGACAGACATGCAGACAGGCAAGAGAGAGAGAAAGATTGAGCAAGCCTGTGTGTAAAAGGGGGCCAAATCTGTCTTTTCATATGAACCCACTTTGTGATAATGCCATTAATCTGTTCATAAGGGCACAGCCCTCGTGGTCTACTAACCCCTTGAAGATTCTGTATTGGACTATTACATAGGAGTTTTAAATTTGTCATAGTGCTTTGGGGACATTCAAACCACAAAAAACAGACTGTATTTCAGTTTGGGTTTGACTGATGCTTTTCTCATTGTTAGAAGTTACTAAGTTTTGGGAAGAATATCAGAGTTGATGTGTCCGTCTCAATGCATCATATCAGGAAGTATATGATGTTGATGTTAATCTTCATCATTTTGTTAAGGTGGTATCTGCCAGGCTTGTTTTTTTCTTTTCTTTTTTTTTTGGTGGGACTGGGGTTTGAACTCAGGACTTTGTGCTTGCAAAGCAGGTGCTGTACCGCTTGAGCCGAACTTTGCTTTGGTTTTTTTCTTTTTTTGGATATGGGGCCGTCTCACAAACTATTTGCCTAGGCTGGCCCCGAACTGTGGTCTTCCCAATCTCAAGCTCCCAAGGAGCTAGAATTATAGGTGTGAGCCACTGGTGGCTGGCTCTGCCAGGCTTTTCTACTGTAAAAATTTCATTTCTCCCCTTGTAATTAATGTATATTTTGGGGGAGATACTTTGAGGCTATGGAAATAACATTTTGTTTCTTTTTAAATATTTGCTCATTGGGGCTGGTGGAATGGCTCAAGTGGTAGAGCGCCTGCTTAGCAAGCATGTGGCCCCAAGTTCAAATCCCAGTGCCACTAAAAAGTAAAATATTTGCTCATTAATTTTAGTATTCATCTTGCTTACAACAATTATTACTGTGGTGTTCTAATGGTGATTTTCTATTTGTCATTTTATGTTTATTATCTAGAATGATAAGCTCTAGAAGAGTTGTCCTTTTATCCTCCATTTACTTTTTCAATCTTTTTTGTATCAGTATGTATTCATGGATATTTATTTTATTCTTTAGGCTATAATCTAATACTGTTAAGGGCTTTTTCCATGGCATTTGTTATTACTCAAATTATTGGTCAATGGGAGTTCTTTTTTTATTTTTAATTTTTTTCTAGTATTACACAGAGCTCTAGGCCTGTCTTGTATTTTCCCTGTTTCAGTCCTGGAATCAGCCATGGCTTGAGAGCTCCTTGGCTTCTTCAAGGAGCCCTTATTCCTTCTATTGAAGAATGATAATTAGAAAGTAAGGTCTGGGTGCTAGCTGTGCTCATTGCTGCTGCAGGCACTGCTTCTAGAGCAGGGATGTGTATAACATGTCTACTAAAACATGTGTGCACACATGTCTATTTGTCTGTCTGTGTATACAAATGAGTTCATATCAATATCCCTGGCTCCCTTTTAGCAACACAGGGCTCATTCTGGCATTTTCCCTTTGCTTATGTGACAATAACAATCAGGAACCAGACTCATGCTATCTACAGTGTACTTACTTACTTGTTCAGTCCTAGTCTAGTAGTAAAGTAGTTTCAGAATTGTTAGCTTGTACCCTTTGAAGAGACAGTTTTATTAACTAAAGTACAGTTAATATTTGTGTGTAGTTCTTTTCGTCTTTAGATTCTGGTCAACATTCTTTTTCAAAATTGCTTAGATCAGCTCCTTTCTTCCCCAACCCACTAGTGTAGTTATGTCATGTATTCGTGATATAGTTAGATACATTCTTTATGGTCTGCATCCCATCCTATATTTTGCCCACATCCTGGTTGAATTGCAAAAAATTTACATAAAGTAAAATTGCTCTTTACAATTGTATGTAGTTCTGTGGGTTTGAGAAATGAGGAGTTAGGTTTCTACTGCTACGGAACCCTGTGGAACAGTTCCATCACACTCAAAAGTCCTCGTGCTGCTCGTTTCCAGTCTTACATGTTAACTCCATTTCTTACATCCACACCCCACCCCCCGGCTTTTGGTTGTCTTTTTGATACTCGTAAACATTTGAAAAGGAGGAAACTCTTGGTAGTAGTTTATTTTAGCTTAAAAAAAAAAAAAGATGTGTGTGGTATTAGGAAAAAGGAAGCAGAAAGTTTGGTATTGATTTTATCTTTGCAACTGGTAGTTCTTTGTGGTTCTATCCATTTAGTTATCATTGGTGTCAGTGTCCTGGTGAATATCCTGAGTGTGCAGTTTGATAGACTAGTATATCTGACTCTTGCTGTGTTCTGATGTATCAACAGCAGTGCTTGGAATTTTAAAAAAAAGTTAGCAAATGGGATTTATTCACTTAAAATTACTGTGGTCCTGGAATGTTAAGCAGTTGTTGGGTATTGTTTAATGGAATTTGTTTTTGCCTGTTGTTTTCAGAGTAAAGCTGCTGCTAAAGCTGGATCTTCTAGATACCAATGGGACATTATGAAATCTCTTGGACTGTCTGATGAAGAGATAGTAAAATTCTCTGAAGCAGAACATTGGCTTGATTACTTCCCACCAATGGCTATTCAGGATCTAAAGAGAATAGGTTTGAAGGTATGCCATCAGCTCATAGTTAAAGAAAATAGGAAGAAAGAATTTATATTCATATAATTTTAAAAGATGTGGATCAACTCTTAAATTTAGAATAATATATTCTACTTGAATGCCATTAAAGAATTACACTGTTATTGTCAGATTAACACTTATTGGGATTCAATATGAGCAAATAAACCCCTTAATATTTGTCTTATTGAAATGTATATTAATACATTGGAAGTTAGTAGAAAAGGGTTCTATTCAAAGAATATAAAGAAGCTGAAAGTAAACTTCAGTACTTGGGAGTACTTAAAGGTATTATTTAATTCTTCTTAATTTATTCTAATTCCTATATGTTTGTTTATATGTCAATGTGTATATTTATAAGCTCACTAATTATAAACAAATTATTATAGTAATTGGTATATGATTAATAAGAAGGACTTGAAAACTTTTTTTTTTTTGGTGGGACTGGGGTTTGAACGCAGGGCTTTGCACTTGCAAAGTAGGCACTCTACTATTTGAGCCATACCTCTAGTCCATTTTGCTCTGGTTATTTTAGAGATGGGATCTTGTGAACTATTTGCCCAGATTGGCCTTGAACCTTGATCTCAGACTCCCAAGTAACTAGGATTGCAGGTGTGAGCCACTGACACCTGGCTGAAAGCTTTTTTCTTTCAATAAAGTCATTTTGAGTTAGGGAGTAAAGAGTAGAAGAGTAAATAATTGATTCATTGGAATGCTTAGTTATAAAAATGTTGTGTATTTTTCAACAATTACCTTCTCCTTTTTCCTTCTGTAGGTGGACTGGAGGCGTTCCTTTATTACAACTGATGTTAATCCTTACTATGATTCATTTGTCAGGTGGCAATTTTTAACATTAAGAGAAAGAAACAAAATTAAATTTGGGAAGCGGTGAGTTTGCTGTCCTTAGTATGGTAAAGTAAAAATCACGTAATTCCTACACTGCAGTTCAGTACCTATAGTCTACCTTTTCCCCCGTTATCCTTTCTATTTTTTTTTTTATAATTTTTTTCGTTGTGTTCTTTTTATAGCTTCTGTTTTTCTTTTTCTCTTGCCAGTGTCTTTTTTTTTT